CCCAGCAGAGGGGTTCCCCCCTCGGGGCATTGCTGGGGCTCCTCTGGCCCCACTCCAGCAGCTCCCTGGCTCTGCTGGGCTGAAGACTCCAGAAGGGGCTCCCCAGAGATGCTGGGGGTGCAGCTCAGGAGACCAGCTGGCCTTGTTGGCCAACCAGAAGGTGATGTCATTGCCCTGCAACTGCTGAACGTGCCTTTGTCCACGTCCCTCTCCAGCCCCCACATCTGACCTCCTTTATTTACACCAGCTGACCCAGGACAGCTGCAGCTAAACCCACAGCCAGGAAAACTTCTTCCTATTCCCAGTATATCCTGCACTTTCTTCTCTCTCTCTTCCCAACAAGAGCCCGGATCAGAGATCCAACGTGTTTATTTTCCTAAGTTCTTTAGTTATTTAAGACATCTTGACATCAAAACCATCTTTTTTTTTCCCTGTGGAAGGAATTTTTCCCCCCCTCACACAAACCCAGATTTGCCACCAACGTGTTACAGAATCAGCCTCAGTTCTCTCTCTCTTCCCAACAAGAGCCCGGATCAGAGATCCAACGTGTTTATTTTCCTAAGTTCTTTAGTTATTTAAGACATCTTGACATCAAAACCATCTTTTTTTTTCCCTGTGGAAGGAATTTTTCCCCCCCCCTCACACAAACCCAGATTTGCCACCAACGTGTTACAGAATCAGCCTCAGTGAAAGGCCAGAGAGTGGACTTTGAAAGGCCAGAGAGTGGCCATTTTCCAAGGTTTTTTTGGGCTCCACCACTGGAGCTTCTTCTCCTCACCACCTGATTTCATTCCCACGTCCAAGCAGACCCTCAACCAGCATCACCGAGGCTTTCCCAGCTCCACCACCACCACCACAGAACAACTCAGGACCCTAGCAGAGAAGAGCTGAAGCTCTTCAAGGCTTTGCATCCTGATGGAGGAGATGGGCTAGATGCCTCGTAGAGCTGGTGGGCACCACCCATGAGCTACACCAAGGGGCTGATGGAAGCCTAAAGCTTGGTAGCCCCTCTCCACGTGCTCAAGCAGGGAAAGTCCTACAACCACCATACCTTACAGGGCTGGGACTTCACAGCAGACTGAGCTGCAACCTCTCCAGTCTCCCAGAGGCTTTTTGTGCTGGCTACCACCACGCTCGTGGTGCCCAGGTCAAGAGAGGTCTGTCTGACAGGTTTTGGAGCCTTTGTGGACGTCTGGAAAGAGAAATGGAGAAAGGTCACCCCCAGGAGGAACGTGGGCTTCTGGGTTTGGGCCAGAGCCCCCCTGGAACTGGAGGTCCTGAGGGATAAGCAGGTGTAAAAAGGAGACTTTAAGGTCTTGCTAGATGCCTCCACCCTTTAAACAGGGAATCAGGATGGGATGGGACAACTTAGGAAAGAAACCAACTTTATGGTGTGGAGGAAGATGGAGACAGGCTGCTTCCATCAAAGGGGAGATGTTTGTCACCTCCCAACTGGTAGGACTATGAAACATGGGGGGAGAACAATGCTCCCAGAAGGTTCCTTGGAGGGCAGGAAGAGAGACAAGAGAGGAGCCCACCTCGATGGCCTGGGTGTACTGCTCCAGCCTGTCGCTGATCTTCGACACAGGGAGGGGAGCCTCAGACCTCTTTGGGCTGGTACTGGAAAGCAGAGGAGAGAAGAGGAGTCAAGGGGATGCCCAGTGCCTCAAGGAGAACTTGGAGGGCCACATCATCCTTCCCCACAGCAGGGCCCTCCAGCATCCTCCGTGTTCACGGAGGGACCTTCTCCACCCCCAGGTCACCCCCAAAAATACCTTTTCTTTATTGAGAGGTTCAGAGACTCAGTTCTGTCCGTGATCTAAAGTGGGAGAGAGAAGACAAAGATATCAACGATGTCCATGGAGCTCAGATGGGTGTAGGTCACCTCAGCTGACCATAATTCTTTTCCCTCACCCAGAATTTGGTTAGAAATGCTTCTCTCAGTCCATTGTTCCACAGGCTGTGGGCATCTCCTTCCCAAGGCAGGTGAGGAGAACCCCAACCGAAAGCATCAATGCACAGTAGCAGCCCCAACCAGTTTCAGGGGCATGGACTCAGCACAGGTGAGGCCACACCTTGAATCCTGGGCTCAGTTTTGGGCCCCTCACTCCCAGAAGGACCTTGAGGGGCTGGAGCGTGGTCAGAGAAGGGCAACGAAGCTGCTGGGGAAGGGTCTGGAGGCCAAGTGTGGGGAGGAGCAGCTGAGGGAGCTGGGGGGGCTGAGCCTGGAGCAAAGGAGGCTCAGGGGAAAACTTCTGGCTCTGCACAGTGGTGTAGTCCCCACCCCTGGAGGTGTTTCCAAGCTGTGGAGATGTGGTGCTGAGGAACACAGGTTGGTGGTGACCTGGCAGTGCTGGGTTAAAGGTTGGACTTCTCTGAGAGGTCTCTTCAACCAAAATGATTCTATGACATTCTTCTATGACTCTAAATGTGGAAAGACAAGAGGGCATCTAGAGGTACCAGAGGTGGAGCCAAGCAGAGGTGTGGATGACACCAAGTTATCCTCACCAGAGGAGCACAGATGGGGCAAGTCAACGTGTGGAGCTACCTACAGGTAGATCACCAAGATCTTTCTGATCACCAAGGTGCCCACAGGGCAGTGAGACATCCCACCAACCAGCTTTATCTTTCTTCCTTCTGCCACCTCCCTCCTCTGCTCAGTGCTGGAGGGGTTGAGGCTGCTCTCCAAGCTTCAGAACCTGGGTGGCTCCTCCCTCTGGGACACTGGTGAAGGTGGCACCTCGTGGGGCACACCACAGCCCCTCTCAAAGGGGGATGGGGTCGATCTCTGCCCATGCCTCAGTTTCTCAAGCACAAGCAGATCAATTATAGGAATAGATCTTGAAGGTACAAGCCACCCAGAGGTTCTTCCAGAAGGTCATAAATGAGCATCAAATGAAACACAGAGGGGCCTGGAAAAGGCTGTAGGTGACATCTCAGCATGACATTCTAGGTGCTCTCTGGAGACCACCTCCTCCTGCCCAGCAGGCCAGTTCCTCACAGCAAGTTCTGCATCTCTCTGGTCCAAAGGACTTTCTGAAGGCCAGAAGAAACCACCACGAGTCAACTGGGCCACCCACAAGACTCAGAGCTCCCAAGCAGCCTGGGACAAAGCAGGGCTGGGACAAAGCCCTCCACACCTCTGTTGCAGCAGCCCCCAGGGCACACCAGCCCCTAAACTGAACCCTAAACACCCCATCCCAACATCTGCCTGCCCCAGATGTGTACCAACCACAGCAGATGCTCTCATCTCCCCACTATGAGCAGCCCAAGTCCTAGTTTGGGGGCACTTTTTGGCCACCCACCCCCCACTACTTCTCAAAGATTATCATAGAATCATTTAGGTTGGAAGGGACCTCCAAGATCATCAAGTCCAACCACCGAGCCCCAAACCCACCCCCTTTCTCCCCTTTGACTTCAAAAAAGCTTCTCCATCAAGGCCAAGAACCTGGTGGTGGTAGATGATGAAACCTTCCTCTCAAGATCTATTTCCTAGTGCAAAGGGAAGTGCTGAAACCACCTTCTGCAGCCAGGAAATGTTGACTAAGAAGCAAACAGCACAGATCTCAGGGCAAACAAAGCCAAGAGAACACCAACCACAGATCAACAGCCTCCTCACCATTTCCTTCACTGATACCATCAACAAGTTCAAGGCTTAAAGACCCAAAAAAAAAAGCCATTTACAGCAGAAATCCCTTCTCTGGGTCTATTGTAGAGGGCTGAGGGGTGGTGGCCACCTCAGCAGATGCAGCCCAGGCAGATGTGAGCTGAGATGTGGTCACCACGGGTCATTCTTTCTGATTTTAGTCTAGGTGAGAGAAGGAGATTCCAGAACTTCAAGTTTGGGGCTTTTTTTTTTGGGGGGGAGAAAGGAAGTTTCAATTTTCTGCTTCATTTTATGTGTATTCTTTGACCCCATTTGCATCTTTCTCAGTGTTACAACGTTCCCTGGAGGCCTCAGTGAGCTTGAGAGATTTACAGTGACTGGCAAAGGAGACAGAGACCATTGAAGCCTCCAAGAGCAGGAGGAGAGGAGGTTGGCAACCCAAGAAGATGAAGGAAAAGGGTCCAGTGAGTTGTCCCACTGGGATGGGACAACAAGATCCACACCCTACACTACCCTCAGCCCTGGACCATCTTCCCCTACATTGCCCTCAGCCCTGGATCATCTTCTCCTCCATTGCCCTCAGCCCTGGATCTTCTTCTCCTACGTTGCCCTCAGCCCTGGACCATCTTCTCCTACATTGCCCTCAGCCCTGGACCATCTTCTCCTCCTCAGGCCTGGACCATCTTCTCCTACGTTGCCCTCAGCCCTGGATCATCTTCTCCTCCTCAGGCCTGGACCATCTTCTCCTACGTTGCCCTCAGCCCTGGATCATCTTCTCCTCCTCAGGCCTGGACCATCTTCTCCTACGTTGCCCTCAGCCCTGGATCATCTTCTCCTCCTCAGGCCTGGACCATCTTCTCCTACGTTGCCCTCAGCCCTGGATCATCTTCTACATTGCCCTCAGCCCTGGACCATCTCCTCCTCCTCCTCATGAGGTGCTCTCCTGCAATCATTGCCATGCCTCCAAAGGTGCCCTGGAGCACAAACCTTCCTGGAGCACACCGTGGTGTGGTCAGAGGATGGCTCCTCCTCCTCTTCCTCCCCTTCCTCCACGCTGAGAGGGCTCAGGGCTTTCTGGCGTTTTTCTGGTGCTTCTTCAGGGTCTTCGTGTCTCCTCCTCTTCTTCTCCTGAGCACAGGAAAGGAAGGAGCCAGGAAATGAGCTGGACAAACTGCTGACTAGGCAACCCAAGTGATTTCTCCCCTGTCTCCCAAGCTTCCTGCTTTCCCCTGAACAAACCCTGGAGCTCACATTATCTAATCCTGCAAGAGCCAGGAAGAAGCTCATGTGTCATTTGGGGGGGCAGGGGGAGGGAATGGAGAGAAACTCTGCAGCTTGAAGGCTGCAAAAGGATACAGAGAAGGGTCCTTGCATCTGTTCATCAAGATTTCTTACAGCTCTTGGGATGGGCAAAGGTGAACTTCTCATGGAGAGGCCACGAGGAGAGGGAGGAGCTGCCTTGAGGACAAAGGAGCCACGCAAGCAGCTCGAGTGCAAAAAGCACACGAGCCTCAGGCAGCCAAAAAGCCAGTTACAAGAAGAGAGGTGGGAAGTTCAGCCACCCTGAGAGGGCTTGCAGAGCACTCGAGCTCCAGCTTGGTCCCTCATTGCCCAGAGCTCACATCTCCTCAGCAGAGCAAAGAATGAAAAGCTCAGCTAGGTGGGAGATTTAGAGATCCAAAGGGCTCCCAAGGTGCAATAAAGGCTGGGAGAGAGGAAAAACAAGCAGGAAAGTTGAGGTTTTCCTTCTTCTGAAGAGCTCCTCACAAAACCCCCCAGGAGCAAGAGGAACATTTTCCTTCTCAGCACTGCAGGGACATGACCAAACCACCCCAAGCTCTAGGAGCAAACCCCCCACGCTCACAAGAGGGCAGAGACCCCCCCAGAAGGGACATCAGCCTTAGGGGAGGCCATGAAATGTGGGCTCAACACCCAGCAGAAGCAGCAACAGTGAGCCAAGTTCTTGCAGAGCATCTCCCAACCCTCCCCACCAACCCTGTGGAGAGGAGAAGGATCAGCTCCTCCTCATCCCACCTCTTGCTTGTCTCCTTCCTCCTCCTCCTGCTGTGGGAGCTGCTTTTCCTCCTGGCACAGCCTCTCTTCCTCCTCCTCCTGGATCATCTCTGGGCTTTCCTGCTGGAGCTGGATCTGCTCCAGCTTGACCTCAGCTTCCCTCACCCCGTCCCCTTCTTGGTACGACTGTCGTGGAGACCTGGAGGTGAGGGAACAGAGGTCCAAGAAGCAGAGCACGTTGTTAGGAGCCTACAAACACCATCGTGTTCCTCAGGCCCCTAGAAAGCCAATTCCATCCCTCCTCCAAGCCTTTCACCCCAGGGCTCACAGCTACTTCAGGGTCCCATCCACTTCCAGGCACTCAGATGTGACTCCCACACTTTGAACCTCCAAAATCCAGCTCAACTAAGAGTTGTGGCAGAGCTGGAGGTATCAGCACCTTTCCAGCCCCACCACGTGCCAGATCTACTGGAAAACAGAGGGGAGACCCCAGGCAGAGAGGGCATCACCATCATGGTGTGGTGCTGGATCAGTTCTCTGCTTGCCTACAGCCCAAATCTCAGGTGGATTTGGGGTGTCTCCAGAGAAGGAGACTCCACAACTTCTCTGGGCAGCTGCTCCAGGCTCTGACACCCTCACAGGCAAGATTTTTTCTCCTCCTGTTCTGATGAAACCTCCTGGGTTCCAGTTTGGGATTTTTGTAGCCTCCACTGGACTCTCTCCAGCAGTTCCTTGTCTCTCTTGAGCTAGGAAGCCCAGAACTGGACCCTGAGGAACAAAGGACACCTCTACTCCCATCACTTTTGTCCTAATCCAGCCAAACCAGGAGTCCCAGAGCAACCAGGGTCCCCCTTTCAGCTTCAGTTAAACCAAAAACCACAACAGAGCTTGTACAGGAGGCTTCTTGAACATCTCCCTGCAGGGGAGTTGGACTAGATGACCTTTCAAGGTCCCTTCTGAGCCATCCCAGGGCTCTGCTGGGTCTCCAAGGCTGCAGAGAGGAGCCCCAGAGGTATCTCCAAGCCATCAGCTTGGCAAGAGCAGAGCAGCCCCTAATTTGGGCACAGAATCAGTGGGAGCCCATCACCCCAGAGCTCCCAGCCACGCTGGTTGAGGTGTTGCTGCCATCTGAGAGCCTCCTGGCCAGAGAATGGCTTTGTCCCACTCATTTCTTAGAAAAAATCACCCAGCTTGTGACAGCAAAGCTGGAGAGCTGGCTAGTGGGCAGCTGCCAAAGCCCAAGGCTGACTCACTGCTCCTGCCTCAGCAGCCAAGCCCCAAAAAAACACGAGGAAAAGGTCAAGCAAGACTTCCAACCCATCCCCTCTGCTGCTGGGAAGGCAGCTCCCAGGAGAGCCACCAGCCAGCCCTCCTCCCTGGCCACATGGAGGGGGCAAAAAAAGCTGCTGCAGATGTTGGCTCCTTCCTAAACCATCCTCCCACGACTCCCTTTACCTCCCAAATCACTCTTTTCTCTTGGCCAAGATGCCAGCTCAAGGTTAAGCTCATCTTAAAGAGCAAGGCCAGCAGACCTGGTGGAGTCTGGAAGGTCCCTTCTGCACCCCAGCAACATCCCAGGGGAGGCAGCTCAGCTCACACAGCTCCTCCTGGTCTCCACCCTCAAATTAGGGAACCAGAATCAAAAGGAAATCAGCCCTTAACCCCCTCCAGAGATGCACAAACTCCTGCAGCACCCCCCAA